CATCCTTGCTGACATGCTGACCCTTTGGGAGCAGAAGAGGCATGAGAGATCTCAGTTTACAACGCTGCTTGTGGTGCCATTGCAGAAGTTTACAGCATTGACTATAACACAAGGATTTTGTTCAGCTTTTTCTCCCGTTATACCTTTGTTATGACTGAATTGCATGTCAAACCTAACTTCAGTATTTTTATTCATACACCTCTGTTGCCTATTTTTCTCCTGCACAGCACGGATCTGTAATTCACGTCTGCGAGGCAGTGCTGCAGGTCCTGGCTAACAGTCCGATTCTGTGAAATGACAGCAAAATGCATCTGATGGGTTGCGTTGTCTGCCTGCTGCTGTCTGGAGTGATGCGAAGCTGATTCAGCTTCCTGCGTACAAATTCGGTGCAGTTTCTCTTTCATAAAGCTCCTGAAATAACTCATGGCAGGGCAGGCTTTATTGCAGCCCAGCGGTGTTTATTTCAGTCGGCAGTGGTGTGACGTGTTTGCGTATGTCACAGCTGTGTGGTTTGCCTAGGAGAAAAGTGATTTATTTATACATCACTTGTAGCTATGATTGGTGTGAGCTTTTGCTTTGTTCTTCTGGATTTATTTCTGTAGTTTCAAGACTTTATCTTCTATGTCAAAATAAATAGCGAGAGCCCTACTAAGGTATTGCTTTGGGCAGTGATTTTTCTTCCAGTTCAGGAGGCAGTGGCCGACCAGTTGCCTGTTCTTTGCAGTCCAGTAAGAGACACAATAATACGGTACAGCTCCCAGAAAGGTGGTAGTGGAAGAGACTAAAACCCAATAGAATGGCAGAAAGTGTAACTGCAGCCACAAAACTTATGGACCAAGTGGTTTCAGTTTGATGGGCAAATCGGTATTTTTTTTATGACTTGTCTGAATCTGAATGTTTTATGATGTCTTCCAAAGAAGAGGATGAATGAAGGCATTTTCTGTTACAGAGCCCCTGTTTTACTGGACTTTTTTCTTCTCTTTTTTTTTTTATTGTTTCTGAGTACATGGTTTAGAAACTTCTGCAATTTGAATTTGTGTATGGAGGGAGCGTTTTTAATGGGACTTTTTAATCCCTTCTCCTCTCCCCAATTGCTTTTGTTCTTTTCTCCCGATTGTGAGCATTGTAAACAGGCAGTGGTTACAGCTTGCTGATGCTGCCTGTCTAACTGAAGATGTAGCTGTCGAATCCAAGTGAGTACGTGGATTGGCAAAGCTTTGGTGTGGCTGTGTGCACTTTGCCTTTTTGGTGGGTGTGCAGCTTTGCTTTCCTTTCAATGCCACACCATTGGGTAACAATTGTAAATCGTACGAGCAAACTGCCATGGAGAGAGTACAGTAGGTGAAATCGATACTGGTACAATTGGACATTGCAAGGTTGGACTTAAATTTCCTAATGTTTCAAATTGTTTTATTCCTTTGTATGGCTTCACCTTTGGAAAATACAGAGCAGTGGATTCCTGCAGGTAGACTGAAATCAGGGAAACAGCAAGACATTCACACTACATGCTGCTTGCAAAGGAGTGAAAGACTTTGGGAGTGTTCCCAACCAGGAACTGGGGCTAATCCTGAGGGTTAGAGATTATTTTAAAATGTTTCACTGGTGTCTTGGTGCCTCTTAAGAATCACTATGTTTTCAAGAAGTGCTTGGCCAACTCTTCCTGGTGGTTTAGACCTCAAGGGTAATGCTGCTGCTTTTATTTTCCCAGACTATGTAACATTCCATGGGTTCATAATATATTTATGAGTGTAATGATCTGTGCAATAACATAACAAATGTAGGTATAACATTTGTTGTTCAATCCAGGATACGCTTAAAGATACAGTGGTCCTCTTTGAAAATTGCAGTCAACCAAGGTATTTCAGTTCTCGCCTTGTTCTGGCGATTTTAAATTCCACTAATGCTGTCAAGGAAGGCTTGAGCCATCAGTGATTTAAAGAGAAATCAAGAAACATGATGATGCCTGCTACCAGAGTTTGATTGTCATGGTTCACAGTGATCTCTAGTCGTCGAGCCCTTTTTCATTTTCATGCCAGCAGAGACCTGGTCAGTATGGAGTGCTGTATCTTTAATTCTCCTGATGTGTTTTATGTGAAGTTCACAGGAACGGTGATTTCAGTGAACACTAGTCATTGTTCTGTAGAGTGGTACCAGGCTTGTACTGCAGTGTCATCTTTTCAAGAGCATTACAATAAAGCAAAATGACATGGAGCAGAGTGGTGTTTAGCCCTTTTTCAGGAGACTTCGAGTACTTTTTAAAACCTCAGAACACTTACCAATTTGCATTAATGTAGCTCATGTGGCCTTCTGAATGAAGCAGTTCTCAATATAGTGAGCATCACAAAGTCATTTCAAAACAGGGTGCTTCATCACTAAGACATCAGCAAAGAATTGTGCCAATATCAGCGTGGAATTGTGTTGGAGAGAATCACTGCTGCCATTCTGCTGGCACGCTGTGTCCGTTCCTGCCCTACCATCCTGCATAGGGGCTGCTCTGAGTGCTGCATGCAAAGCGTCCAGCTGGGATTAAATCCAACAACAGGGAGTGCTGGTTCTGGAGGGGGGCTGCTTGGCCCTCTGTTCTGCAAGCGTATGGAGGCCAATTATGTAGAAATGGACAAAACCATGAAAAATGATGTCTATTCTAAGCACTGCCAGTAAAAGCTGATGGAAAAGTGGCATCTGTAGACCACAAAATACCGTGGTCATCGACCAGAGGGAAAACAGACCCCTCCTGCCATTACAATATCCAGCTTATTTCCACTGGATAAACTTCTCTGCATCCTTTCCCAGCTGTGCTGTGATCCCAGCAAGGAGCAAATTCAGCTTCAAGCTGTTTTACTGTGATGTGGCTGTTTCTGTACGCCTCCACAGCAGATGCAGGCTCAGAAAGCGGCTGCCTGGGTTTCCTTGGGTCCATACCTCACTGATTTTAGGGAATCAAACATTTTGCCCTCTGAGGTGTCCAAGAGCCAGCAGCAGGGATGTGGCCTGGGCACGTTGCATCAGCAGCAGGCAGCACGAGGGGACATGGCCGTGTCCAGAGCCCCCAGCCCCAGTTAACAGCTCCGTGGTCTGGGTTTCCCTTCCCTTTTGCCGCAGCTATTCCAGTGGTTTCACCAGCAGGATCTATTTTGAGACGTGCTTTTGGCTCTTCCAGGAGCTGGCTGGGCACCTTTGCCTTCCCCAGGATGTGACCCTAGGGTGAGAGCTGGAAGTCCTATAAGGAAGGTGAAGTGGAGCTGGGCTGTCCCGTTTGGAAGCAGTAAAACCCAAAGCTCCAAAAAGCGCAGCACGATCGTTCCTCATCCGTCAAGTCGCTAACGTGCACGTGGGCCAAGGCACGTTGCGGGGCTGCTTTGGCTCCAGCTGCTGGTGCTGTGTCAGCAAGAAGCTGCCTCCCCTCGGTGGTGTGGGAGAGGAGAGGTTGGCCTCTGCTGACCGATGCTGGCTTTAGGTGATGGATGAAATTTCGACTGTTTTTGTTGTTTGTTTGTTTTTTGTTCTCTTTCTATCCTCAAACGATGCTCCTGCTACCAGAACAGCCAGGTGTAAAATGGAAAGGATGAAATAAACCCCGAGAAGACCACCAAGGAGCAACCTCGTCCTTGCAGGCGCTCAGGGGAAGAGTTGAAGGCTGCCAAGGCTCTGGTTGTGCTGCACCTCACCAGGATCGTGATCACAGCTCAGACAGGAAAATCCAGTGCTGTCGGCTCTTGGCAGCTTGTAAAACTGCCGTTGTCTTTCCCTTTAAGCTCTGCCAAGCCGTGCTCCCTCGGGGAGGCTGCTCGGCTCTGCTGAGGCGGCTGAATTTTGCAATAGATAAATCAGCTTCTGCCAGGAAATGCAGAAAGGCTGGAGTGTGTCTTCCTGGAGGAAAAAAAAAAATAATAAAAAAAATGGTTCGTTTCTGATTAAAGTGCCACTGCTTAATATCAGCTGTTCTTTATGGGATTGCTCAAGCTGCCTTAAATATGTGTTGAATTTTGGCTGTACAGGGCAAAAACTGCTTGTGTATAACTTTTCTGCTCTGCTGCTATGGATGTTTAATATACGTAACTGATGTGGCAGGCAACGTGAGGGATGTTGTGATCAAGGTGAAGCCAGGAGGTCTCTTCTTCACAGAAACCTGTGTTGCTCCAGAGTATGAGCTTGTTCAGCTGAGGAGCAAATTGCCGATTTAACTCTTCACAGATCTCCTCCTACCACCTTTGGGCTGTACCTCTGTGCAGTTTGCTGAATTATCGATATATTGTGTAGTCCACCTGGCCAAGGTTTAAATATTCAACGCTGGCTCCTCGGTGTCACCTCGGTACAAGTCCGGAGAGGCTGAATCTGAAAGCAGGGGCAAGTCTTAAGCTTCTTGTCCCGACCAAGTATCTCTCCAAGTTGGTCATGCACCTCAGTGCAGCGCTCAAATTATATTAAAGTGGAATAAATACTTGTTGTGTAGCCCAGGCTGCTGGTGATATCCAAACCAGTTAGACTGAAAGGCTGCAAAATGTTCTGGGATGGAGAGGGCAATGCCCAGCCGGATGGTGCTGCAGGAGGAGGCTCACCTTTCCTTCCTTCCTCTAGAGGGGATTGTGGCACCAGGCACGGCTTGGGGGAATCCAGCTCCAAGGATGCTTTGAACAGCTGGATGCTGTGCTGGAAATTTGTTTCTGCTGATCTGCTGTCCCCTCCTGTCCTCCACCTTTGATTTTCATGCGGTGCTGAGCCTACAGGGTGTGAGTTCCTCTCCCCTGACCACAGCATCCTGCTTCTCGCCAGCAGGATGCACCACGCTGGACGCAGCTCATCCAACCTCAGGCTGTAACAAATACCGGGCTCTAGACCAGAGTCCAAAAAGCACATCGTGCTGCATCCGTCGTGGCCCTGACCTGGATTTTGAAGCCACGCTGGAGAATCGTGGGGTGGCCGTGGCCACAGCCTGGCTGCCGTGGGCAGCTCGTGGAGCTGGAGCAGCCGAGCTGCATCTCGGGGCGGCCAGGGGAGAATTAAAAAACTCATTTGACTTGCTGAGTGGTTTTTCTGTTTCTGTTTTTACAAAAATGTTAATGAGTTCATTACAAAATAAACTATTTGCTGGTGTTTTCATTAAAGCTGCAGGTCCTGAAGCAATGCAATCATGGGATAATTTTTTCATTGTTTTCTTGGTTTCAGTGTGTTTGTGTTATTTTTGTTTGTTTTTCTTAAGGTAAAGCTTCCTTCTTTGTACATTTTACAGGACTATAACCGAGTTGTACTTCTTCAAAATTCAAGGAAAACAAAATTCCCCCTCCCCATTTGCTATTCTGAAGTCAGCCAGGCTTTGTTGTTACTATTTTTTACAAAGTGTGATTGCTTGGGGTCAGTAGTTTTTCTTTTCTGTGGAAAGAAGCACATACATGCCCTAACACCTCCTCATTTATTTTCTGGAACAAAACAAAGGACGCTCAATGTCACAAAAGCTCCAGCTCGGTTTTATATCAGGCTAATGAGAAACTGTTGAATCACCCGCTCATTTTCTGTCGGTAGAAGGCAATAAATCTTCCCTCACTTCCCAGCCCCCGACAGACCTGCTGTCCGGTCCCATTACTGGTTCCAGCATGGGAACGGAGGCTGGGGCAGAGCCTTTCTACCGCAATGCACCTCCACCGCTTCCTTGGTGCATGCCCAGCTCCAGGCTGGTGGTAGCTCTGCACCAAGTGCCCCCAGTATTGCTGATCTGCATTTTATTTTATTTTATTTTATTTTATTTTATTTTATTTTATTTTATTTTATTTATTTATTTTTTATTTTTCGTTTTCCCCTGCCCTTGTGGAGTTTGGAGGTGTTTGCTGTGTGCTGGCCTCCGTCCCCCAGCGGCACAGGCACGGAGCAGCGCTGCAGGAGCACAGCTCCTTGCAGCAGAGCCCAGCTCCCGGTGCCTCCCAGCCCTGCAGGCAAAGGCACCTTGCAGAGAGCTCCCTTTGGCTGCAAACCCCCTTCTTGCAAAGCTGGACTAAAATCAGGGTGGGGTGGAGGGTGGCTGAATGCCAGCTGCTGGCGTCCGTGCCAGCTCGGAGCAGGAAAAGCTGAACCTGCCTGCGGCTGGGCTCTTCTGCCCTGCAGCTGTCCTGCAGAGGACAAAGTTTAGGCAAAAGGCTGACAAAAGCTCCTGGTTGTTGCCAGGGATGCCGGTGACAGCTGGTGGTGTCCCCCTGTGCTCGCTGCTGCAGAGAACTTTGCAAGTTCCTTCCCTTTTGGTGACTGGCGCGTATTTTAAATTTCCAAATGAGCTCATCGAATTTCCTCCTGTGCGTTGCTCAGCCCTGCTTGGGAAAAGGAAAAAGCAAAACAAACAAACAAACAAGAAAACACACAAAAAATACCAACCAGGGAGTGCTACAGCTTCTGCCAAGGCTGGGAGCTGAAAAGCAGGAGGCCTGGCTGTACTCACTGGATCCTTTCTCTTCTCTGCTCACTTAATGACTCGAGTCACTTCCTGATCTACTGAAACAGAAAAATCAGGCGCTACGGCTCTTTGGGAGAGGAAACCAAATGGGGTGACTCCGCAGCGCTGTGTGCGTGTTCCAGCCTTGACTCCAAAGCCCCTGTGATTAACACCTTTCATCTGTGCACCCAGCTGATAGCTGATTAAATCTAAATAATCCCTGCACCTATGGGGAGTGGGGAAGCCACGTCTAGGGATGGTTTTTCCCAGCCCTGAAATGCTGCAACCTCCAAGGTGGTGGTAGCTGCAGTTTGCTTGCTGGGGATTCCCTTTGGCAGCACAAAATGCTTGGGGAAGGCACCAAATCTGCAAGGGGAGCCCCGGGGTGCATCACACCTGGGGCTGTGAGTGTGGGGCACGTGGGGCATCGTTTAACAGCCCCCTCCTGAGCTGGTGAGGTGCTCAGGGCTCCCCCTTGCCCCTCATGCCCAGAAGATTGTGACGTCCAAACCGCTGTGCCAATGGAGAGCTGAAGCTCCTCAGGGCCTGGATCTTTGCTCCAATGCAGGGCAGTGGCAGATGCTAGGAAGGAGTAAAGGAAACGGTGAGCAACCCCTGCACCGACACCTTGTGGCTTCCAGCAATGAAGGCAGCCGCAAGCATCTGGATTATCCTGTTCAATAGCAAGACCTGTCCTGCATGGATGTACCTAATCCCTTTTTGGATCCCTTTAGACTTGGAGGCTTAATATCCAGCAGTGACAAATCGCACAGTTTAATTTTATGCTGGTGAAGGGGGAAAAAAATATCCTAGTTTTACTCAATTCTGCTGCCTTGTTTCATAAGCCTGGTCCTGGTCATTGCTGGGAGAGCAACTGCTCCATGGTCACCATCTCTGCAACCCACACCGAGTACTCTCAGGGCTTGATAAGGGGAGAGAATGTATTCTAGTAGCTTCTCTTTGCTGTTTTTTGTGGCTTAAATACTACCATTAAGGTCTAATTTAAAGCAGTTTCTCCCCAGTTGAAGAGAAAAATACCAGATCCAGGAAGAGAGCTAAAGGGGGAACCCCTCCTGTGCGCCCTCGTGGTGAGGTGTGTGGTCACAGGAGCCATCAGAGCAGCTCTCCTGGTCAGCACGTGTTTGTGCCCGTGCTACAAAGGATGCTGCAGTGTTACTTGCCTTGAGAGCACCTTCCACGCCCACTGGGGGACATTTCTAGCCTGGGACAAGCACCCCAGCATCGGTGATGCCGGAGCGGCCATCAGTTGGCTGAACCTCCCTGTGTGCACAAGGGGAGCCTGTTTTCCCCGGGTGCAGGCCAGAGGATGCCCGGGAGAGCCTGCACAGAAGCAGCCTTGTTGGTGCTCCCCGGGCTGCAGCCGCTGTTTGGCTTGGACAGGAGCACCGGGGCTGAGACATGGTCAGCCCCCCCCAGCCTCACCTCTGGGCAGGGAGAGATGGAGGAAAACCAGCGTACCTCCAGCTGCAGGGAGCCTTTACCCCGTGTCTCCTGCTCCTTCTCGCCCTGTATCCAGAGCTGGGGGTTACGGGATGCCGTGCCCCAGCCTGAAATCCTAAAAGCTTTCAAGACATCTGCGTCCCCCCTCTGAAACCCTTCAGCACCCACCTGGTAGGAATCCAGGAATCTGAAATCTCCCCCCTTAGGACTCGGTGACAAAAGGGAAGTGTCTCAGTGTTTGCTTCTGGGAAGGGGTCAGGAAAGGTAAGAAAGACACTGGGGGCACAGAGAGACCTGGGCAGCTCAGCCAGCACAGAGCCTGTCCTGCCTGCATGCGGCCCTACAGCCACAGACAGCGAGCAGGTTTTGGGACACTGAGCTCATTCAGGAATGCCGAGACCGTGTGGTCCCACGTGCCAGCTCACTGCTCTTTCCAGGAAGGCACCACACAGTTCTCCCTTTGATTTCAGCCCCTGCTGCCTGCTGTGCTGCTCAAAGCGCTGACCTGGGCTTGTTTGATTTACCAATATTGTGGCGCGGGGGGGAATTTAAACCTGGAAGGCTCTGCTTGTGCTAGCGAGGACGTGGATGCTGCTGCAGAATATGGGGTTTGTGTCCTCCTGGTATTGCAAAAAACCAGATGTTCCCTTAAGGAACAGACAGAGGAACTGCTGGGTGCTGTGAAGGCAGGGCTGGGAGTGCCCCTGAGCGCCCTGCCTGCTGCAGGGAGCCTGAAGATGTTGTTACTGCTTTGCCCCAAAACTTCCTCCTCGCTGATATCAAGATGACTTTGTACAGAGCTTTGGCACTGACGCAGCAGGGTCAGAGGGATTTAGTGTAAATAAAGCCATTTCCTGCAGCAACTAGCACAGACCGCTGCGGCTGGTCCCTGCAGAGTGCTCCGGGCTGGTGGCTGCTGGGGGGGTTCATCCTGCTCCCCCCTGCCCAGGCTGGTGTCGGCACTGCTGGGGTGACAAGGGCGGCATCGGGGTGCTGAGAGGTGGCTTTGCCAGGTCCCTCTTCATCTTCCACCACGGTACATTCTCTGTTCCATTCCAGCAATTTCTTGTGGGCTGGGGGAACTGGTGTGGATATTGGCTAAAAACTCCCGGCTGGTAAACTGCTGCTGGAGATGATCTAATTAACGATGGCATCGCCTTTACTGATGCTTTATTACGCTTTGGATTGCAGTAGAGTTTCCTTAATTGATGCAATTTCCTTCCCTTCCCTCAAACCCATCTTCTCCACATATTCTTTTGGTAAGGTCCATGTCATGTTCCCCCCCTGCCCATTATTTACGTTGCAGGGTTTTTGTCCTCTTCGCCAGCTGCTTTTTCTCCACTTTGCCTTTGACTAATGGAAACATAATTACACCCGCATCTGATGGCAATGACAGCTGTAATTAATCACCTCCGTATCCCAGTTCCTCTGCCTATTGCTTTACTCAATATTATCACTGCAAGGCCAGCTCTGGCCTGCACGGAAAGATCTCCAGTTGAGGAAATATCGGGCAGGAGTGGAGGCAGGTGTTGGTGCCTGGAGGCAGGCACTAATAACCCAAACCAGGAAACCCATCAGCTCCAACCCTTGCTAATTTCAGGCTGAGCTTCTCCATCCACCCTCCGTGATGGTTGCAACCACGAGGAAGGACCCGAGCTGCCTTGAGCCTCCTTTTCAGCCCACGTTGGCCATGGTGTGGGATGGAGCCAGGAGGGAAACCCTTGGGGAAGAGGCTGGGACCAGCCTCCGTGCTGGGAGGCAGCAGGAGACCTTCTTGGGAAAGGCGTAACATCAGGATGGGGTCGCTGCGTGGCTTTTCCTCACCGCCAACCTAAAGAGCATCCTCCCCGGACCAAAAGAGCATCATCCCTGGACCAAAAGAGCATCCTCCCCCGACCAAAAAAGCATCATCCCCGACCAAAAGAGCATCCCCCAAGCACAGCAGCATCCCGCACCCTGCAGGTGAGGCCAGCTCCTAACCTCCTCTGGGCCGGCCTCGAAGGCGGCCTCGGCTGCCGGGAGGCTCCTCCTCCGGCCTCCGGAGAGGGGAGGAGAGGCCGGGATCGGTCCCGGCGGCTCGGGGCTGCCCACCTGAGCCTGGCTCTGCAGCCGCAGGGACCGGGGGTTGGAGCCGAGCATCCTCCGGCCCCGCAGCCCATGGGGGTCCCGGGGGGATTGCGGAGCTCCTGCCCCGCTCCGGCTGCCTCCCGGCCGGTATGGAGAGCCTGGGCGGCAGCCTGAAGAAAAAAGCCGCGGAGCTGCACTACAGGGCAGAGGTGATGATCGCCGGGGAGCAGCTCAGGTAGGAGGCAGGGCTGGTGGGGGGCTCGGGGGGCTCCCGGCTGCGCCCCCCGGTGCTCGGTTTGCTGAGCAGATCCTTCCCCGTGTCACCCCCCTCCAGCACCGGGCAGCTCCGGGTGCTGGAGGATCGCCTGGTGCTTTTGGGTGGCAGCGGGTTTTTGGCTCCTCCGGCATCCTGCACCAAGCCCAGAGCCTGCTGCGGTGCCACCGGCACCCTGGGGACACCGGCATCCGATGGGGACACCGGCACCCTGGGGACACTGGCAGCCTGGTACAGCCCTGCCCATGGGGCTTGGACTTTTGGGGTGATGCAGGAGGGCATCCCGTGGGTGCCGTGTGCCTGAATCCACACAACCTGAAGGGTCTTGTGCAAGTTGCTTTTGGGAGCTTGTGCTGTTTCGTGGTCCCGGTTCTCAAGCAACTTCTGAGCTTTCTTCTTATGAAGATAGAAAAAAGTTCTGCTGTGCAGGGAAATCCGTGTGACTGTGAAAGTGTGCTCCTTGTGCATCTTGTGCAGAATCCTAAAATTACCTCTGTGGCACTGTGCTGTCCAGCCTCAGCATTCACATTACCCTCAGCTTTATTAATTTACATTGTATTAAGGACTGATAATTTCCATTTAAGATTAGGGCTCCATTTTGGAAACACCGCCCATGTCCAAGGTGGCTGGAATGTAAATGCTCTACGATGGTCAGCCACATCTCCGTTGTCTTTCCCAAATATTGCCTGCACTGTAAGCGAGGTTTGGAAAATGAGCTTAGCTTTCTTGTATGGAAGAGCAGCAGCAGATCTAAGAGTGAGTTGCTTCATTTCAATAACTCATTGCAAGTGACACTAAATTATTGCTTTTTCCATCCCACGGGCAGGGCAGGCTTATTCATATTTATATTTCCAGTGTTTTACTCATCTGGAGTGACTGTGGTCATGGGCACTATAGCCTGGGCCAAGGGAAGGGGTCAGGTATTCAGAAAATAAATTAACTGAGCCATGTGTTAAAACTGCAATGAGTGGGTGTGCAAGGGCAGTGATGTGACTTGCCAGCTCTTTTTGCAGGACAGGAGCATATCAAATCCTGGATCATTTTGACATTTTTAACTATAAAGAGGAGATGAGGACACAATAAATCTATTTGTGAAATGAGCTTTTCTACCATCCTGTGCGCTGTGCTAGTTCTTATAAGCAAGACAAAGACGCAGTGCAAATGGTACATTCTTCTGAAAACCCATAATACCAACGCGTTTTTTCCTCCCAATATTTGTCTAGGAGCTTCAGTCCTCGCTGCCAGTGCAAAAGTGCCCTCAGGCTTTAAAAAAAGTGCCATTTAGCTTTAAAAACACAGGATGTAAGTAGTTTGGTGGACAAGGTGTATATACTTTTTGAGACACCCATAAAAATATATTTTCCCTGTTGCTGGAGTGCCTGGGAGATTTCCTGGTCTGAGTTAGGGAGCTCC